CATTATATCATGTTTGTCAATTAGAATGACCAATAGTTTACGTGAAAGGAATAAGCATATAGAGAAAAAAAACTTTGTTAATTCGAATACATCATCAGATAACAATATGGAGAAATGTGAATATCCAAAGCAAACAGTAAAATATCAAAAAACTGCTTTTAGTAAGCATGAGTTCAAAATTTCCTATTGTAGGAGTTGTTTTTATCTCTAAATTTGTTTCCGGTGTTTCCTCAGTAGGTACAATGATAGGGTTATTATCACTTACTACTTTTCCTGGTTCGTTTATAGTGCTCGTAAACACTTTATCATTGCAAAGATTTTTCGCACAACAGACTTGTCCATGAAAATATTCACTGGCACAAGATGGTACACATCCCCTCACAACTTCTGAGTCATCAAATTTCATCTGAAATATAATCAGAGGATACTTTTTAACTTTGAAAAAGATAGAAATCATCCCACAAAAAAGTAGCTTCTAAACAATAACACAATAACAGAATGGTAAGATCAGCAGCTTGTATTGTCGCAGTTGACAGTAGAAACCTCTGTAACTACTTGCAGTCTCCACATGACTTTCAATGTTAAACGACATTTGATGGAGAAATATTTTTTTGTGATAGAAGTATGAAAATACGTCAGTCGTAGGTAAGCTCAACTGCTGCTTCATTTACGTACTACAGTCTTCTAAAATATAAATTTGCAAAAGATTTATTTTTGCAGAAATCATTTATCAACTGAACCTACACTACCCCATAGATTTTACTTTTAGTTTGTGTCAATGAAATGGAGGCAATCAGCAAGGAGCCTTGGGTCTAGGTTTTTTGCTTGCTGGCACTCATTATCTAGGGGATCTGCAATTCCTATGGGACTGACGTCCCACCTGAGATTTAAAGTCACATCACTCACTCCTGCAGTCACAGAAGTTCCCATCAAGCTATTCAGGTCGCGAATGACCTCCTGTTGGACAAGTACTTGAGAGTGGTTCGATATTCACAAATATATTTCAGTACCTCAGTGAATGTCCATAATCACTTCAACTGAAATGCCCCACTTATCTAGCACTCCACAACTAAAGTCAAAATTGCTCGCTCTAAATTTTATTCACGCTTGGATAAGGCTACAAAGGCAGTGGAGATCAAATACGTTCTTTTGCCTCCTATTTTCAAAGACCAAACCTTATAGCTGTAGAAAGAGTAAGGAGTTGGTTACTAAGCAATGTGCTTTTGGCTGGTAGTTACATTTTCCAAATTAATAAATGGTGCAAGTCCGAAAATACAAAACGGGCCCTTCATATGCAACCCGAAATATTGTCAGCTAACTAAGTTTCAGGAAAGTAAGAATAGTCCGGTGACATACAAAAAGACTATACTGCAATAATGATAGAAATTTAAACATAACATGTACGTAACCACTCACAGTACATCCTCCACATCCAACCGCTATGCTTGTATTCTCGTTTACGTTGAAACAACCAGTGCAATTATAACACTTAAGGCTTATAACTAAAAATGCAAAGAAAAACCAAATTTTCACTTTAATACATACATCTAACAAAGAAATAATTTGCTGCCCAATTGGACTTCAATTAAGGTAACAAAACGTTTTCTACTGAATGAAAATAAGTGTTGACTGCATATGTAACTTTTTCAGTCTGTTTTATTTCAAAGAAAATCATTTTACAATACGGAAGAGTCACCTTACAATTCAAGGACAGAAAGAGTAGTAGCTAACTCATCAAAACAACATGAATCTTTCACAAATTTCCTCAGGTGTAAAAACTATCCATATTATAGTTATGGGGATTGGAAGACTACCGTTTTTGTGAATACTACGAGATTTTTTCGAGTTGTAGACAGACAATGATGAAATTCATTGGATTTACCTTTGGTGACAAAAAAATCAACAACAACATAAATAATTAACGTAATATTATCAGTAAGATAACATTTTTGTAACGCGAATGAAACTTATCTATCTACACTTTCAAACTGAGTAGCAGGATTCTTTAGTAGGCTATCGTGATAGGAGTACATCAATACCAAAAATATCAGTCACAGCGTAGAATGCAAATGAACTCAGAGTTTTGAAGCGTCCATATAACTGTGAGTTGAACGTGTTTCGGACACTAATCTATCATAATTAAAGGTCAACATTATTCTTTAGTAGGGTAACAGACTAACCTCGCCTGGTTAACTAGTTTACTAGTTACTAGCCGGTCCTAAGCCCGGGTAAAGAGGGAAGGTTGGGCATAGGGCTAGCAACCCTACCCCGTAAAACAAATCTAACCGCTAAAGAAACTTCAAAGCACAAACAAAATATAAAAAATGAAAACAAACTTATTCCCCGCTGGAATCGGAGAGGCGAAATGACGCCAGTTGGTGAAAGCCTTCGGGAAGCCAATTGGCCGATGTGTCTTCTCTCGATGAAAGCGAAAGTAAACGTGGGGACATGGAATGTCCGCACGATGTTTGAACCCAGTAAGGCAGCCCAGATTGCAAAGGAGATGAGAAGGTATAACATCGAAGAGCTTGGGATTTGCGAGAGCAGATGGAATGGGAGTGGACTCTCCAAACTGTCAACTGGAGAATCAATAATCTACTCTGGTCACCCAGACGCCAACCACGAGCACACTGAGGGAGTGGCTATCATGATGTCCTCAAGAGCATCGAAGGCTCTCATGCAGTGGGAACCAATCTCCTCCAGGATCATGACAGCAAGATTCAACTCAAAAGGAAGAAAGGTCACAATCATACAATGTTATGCACCTACAAATAATGCAGAGCAAGAGAAAAAGGAGGAATTCTACAGACAACTTCAGTCAACACTGGACAAGACGTCAGTTGGCGATATCAAAATTCTAATGGGCGACATGAATGCCAAACTGGGAGGGGACAACACGGGAAGAGAACTAACCATGGGTCGAGAGGCGCTCGGTGAGGTGATGAATGAGAATGGAGAATTGTTTGCAGAATTCTGTGCATTCAACGATTTGGTGATTGGAGGCAGTGTGTTCAAGCACAAGGATATCCACAAAGCGAGTGACATGGATTTCACCAGACACCAGGACACACTAAAAATCAAATCGACTTTATCTCAATCTCAAGAAAATGGAGACGCAGTCTACTTAACACAAGGTCAAGAAGAGGAGCAGATGTAGGTTCACACCACTCACTATCTAGGTCAAGGAACCTTCGAAATCAAGTTAAAAGCCTTCAAGGAAGCTGGTGATAGACCTCAACTCAAGTACAACACTCGGAAACTGAAGGATGAAACTACAAAGGAGATCTTCAAGGCAGCCATCAAAACAAAATGGGAGACATCGAGGAACATCCCTGAAGAAACCTGTGTGGAAGAACACTGGAAGTCTTTGAAAGCTATGTGGAAAGAAACCTGCACAACAGTATTAGGAAGGAAGAAGGTGGAAGACAAGGAATGGATCTCGACGGATACCTGGAAGCTGATAGAGGAGAGGAGGATGGTGAAGCAGAAGATAAACCAGTGCAAGGATGCTCAACGACAAGAGGAACTGAGCACAATGTATAAAACACTGAACAAAGAAGTGAAGAATAGTGCACGCAACGACAAAACACACTTCTACGAAACACTGGCAAGTGAAGCAGAACAGGCTGCAGGTAAGAGAGACCTGACGACATTGTATCAAATAACCAGGTTGCTATCAGGGAAGAGACCAGCACAGACGAAGCCAATAAAAGATGATGACGGAAATTTAATTACGAAAGAGGAGAAACAAAAGAAACGATGGGCCGACCACATCAAGAAGCTCTTGAATCGACCACCACCTGCACTTCGTCCAGAAATACCACCTGCAGCCGCTGAACTACAAGTGAACATATATCCTCCAACAAAAATGGAAGTCCTGAACGCCATAAAGCTACTGAAATGCGGGAAAGCAGCAGGACCAGATGGAATACCGCCAGAAGCACTGAGAACAGATGCAGAGACAACAGCGGACATGCTCACACCACTATTGCAGAAGGTGTGGAAGGAAGAGAAGGTACCTGCCTATTGATTGGAAGAAGGGTTACCTTGTCAAACTGCCGAAGAAGGGAGACCTCAGTGTTTGCGAGAACTGGTGCGGAATCACTCTCCTGTCCACCCCAAGCAAAATATTAAGCCGCATCATCCTAGAGAGGCTTAAAGACGCACTGGATTCAAAACTGCGACCGGAACAGGCAGGCTTCAGGAAGTACAAATCATGTGCTGACCAAATTGCAACGCTTCGTATCATCATAGAACAGAGCATTGAATGGCAATCAGCTCTCTACCTCAACTTCATCGACTTTGAGAAGGCCTTTGACAGCGTCGACCGAGAAGTAATTTGGAAACTGCTTCAATACTACGGAGTACCGCAAACCTTTATCCGCCTCATTCAACAACTATATGAAGATGCCACATGCCAAGTAATCCACAATGGGAAGCTCAGTGATGCTTTTGAAGTGAGGAGACAGGAGTGAAACGAGGCTGCCTACTATACCCCATGATATTCCTTATTGTGGTGGACTGGATCATGCAGCAAACAGTAGGCAGCGAGAGGAGGGGGATACACTGGACGACGGAAAAGAACCTAGAAGACTTGGATTTCGCCGATGACTTATGCCTAATGTCACACAAACTTGAAGATCTGCAGGCAAAAACTAACAAGTTGGCAGAAGAGGCAGCTAAGACGGGACTTCAGGTGAATATAGAGAAGACAGAAGTGATGAAGATACCGCACCACCACCATCAACAACAACAACAAACTCCAATCACCGTCAACGGTAGAAACTTGAAGGAAGTAACCTCCTTCACTTATCTAGGAAGCACTGTTTCAACTACAGGCGGGACGGACGAGGACGTCAAAGTCAGAATCGGAAAAGCAAGACAGGCGTTCATTAACCTGAAACCAGTGTGGAGATCTTCTGCACTCAGCATGCGGAACAAGATACGGATTTTCAACACCAACGTCAAGTCAGTGCTCTTATATGGCTCAGAGACTTGGCGCGTCACGAAAGGTATTTCCAATAAACTACAGACATTCATCAACAACTGCTTACGCTCGCTGCTGAAGATCAGATGGCCAGAAAAAATAAGCAACAAGGAGCTCTGGGAACGAGCCAACCAAGAACCTATCACGCAACAAATATGCAGGAGGAAGTGGGGATGGATTGGCCATGCACTGAGAAGGCCGACGGAGGACATCACGCGTCAGGCCAGTTGCTCGAGTGGAATCCCCATGGGAAGCGACGAGTCGGACGTCCGAGGGTGACATGGAGGAGGTCGTGCGAGCAGGAAATGAGAGCTTGTGGGATGTCATGGGACCAGGTTCAAACGATCTCAGAGAACAGAGTTCACTGGAGGCGTGCTACTGAAGCCCTATGTTCCACTAGGAACCCAAGGGACTAATAATAATAATAGGGTAACAGACTAAAATACAATGCACTTACTAGACTGTACTTGAGCATTTTGCCGCGGTATCTCACGTAAGCTGGTTATCTGAATATCAACTGCTAATGCTAAATTGAGTCATATTAAATGTATCAGCATTAGTGCTACAAATTGCCCCACTTATTACCCGAGTAATTAAAGCAGGAATCTCACCCCAAGTGGTGACACTATCTGATCACATAGTTAACTAACAACCCTCAACATGCTGTAGTTTATGATGCTTATGCAAGTAATTCTATGGATGATACTTTACTTTCCCTGATAGTTGCTGAAGATAGTAGTTACTATTGTCAAGGCTGTGACTACTCTTGGTAATTACGGTTCAATAAACATTTTGTCCAACTATAAAAGGCTGCAAGAATTCGCTTCCCGTGTACTATATTCTGTGTTTTCATCTGGTTTGTTATCAATAAACTTTGGTCAAAGTTTGAAGACTAAATCTATGTATCTTATTCCCACTCTAGCTAGTTAGATGGCAGTTGACAGGAAGTTAAATAACAATTGGACTGTTTCACGAAACAGTCTGTCCACTGATCCAATAAGTTCTCAAGGTTACATTTCAGTGGTAATCCACTTAATTTCCAATTTCCGTTCACTTTTCCTTGTTCGCATCAGCAACTATAATTTTTAACATCATATAAATGCTGAGTTTGAAGCCTTTGCTTTAATTAACTCTCACATGTGACGACCGGGTGTATAAATAGCTCGTTTCTATGCATTTATTCTCAACAAGCTGGTTTAAATTTGTAAAGGTTTCTTTTCTTGCGACTGTCTCCCTGAACTTTTTCCACGCCATATGAAGAACAAAAGGTTACTCCTTTGCAGACAGCATACACTATACTACAAAATATTCGAAACAAACCATATGGCTTCCTATGCTTAACTATGTTTTACAGTAGTGGCCTTGGAAATAGTCACTGTGCAGTGTGCTTCAATTTGAATACATTTAGCTAACATCTCAAGGAGTTCATAGGTTTACAAATAACATTTTAAATGTTTATTTCTCATATACCCTGAGTGTTCTAATCGGTTCACATTAGGACTGTGTGTGAATAGGTGTATAATCACATCCTGAAAATAAATCGTCTGGGATTTGCGATTTTATCTCGTGAGTGCAGTTAAGCAGCCATAACATTAGTTCGTCTAGTAGTTGAGTTGCCTTTCAATGAAAAAATAATTTAATGTATTGCACTATTTCTGTTAGCGACAAAGACAAATACAAGGGGAATACTCTACAATACAAAAATCTCTGTACTATTTCAATGTGCACATTTATTCCGCTGTCAGATGTATCACTTTTCTTAATGTACATTACTGTATCTAGTGCTTTACATTGCTATCACTGTAGTCTGTACTTCGCAATCAATTGAATTAGCAATAGCTACAAGTTCGTTTCGATAAGGAGACATTAAAAAAACACAATTATACATGATTGGTTCATCAGTTAATCACTTGCAGAATCACTTACTTTCTTGTTGGATAGCTGGCACAGTATACAACCCGACAATTAAAATCAGTATTGTGTTAATCATTTATAATAGTAGGATGAAGTTCACTAATACCGTTTTTCTTTGATGATAATATTTATTTCTTTGCAGATATGCATAAGTGTATTTTACTTAGGTATGTGTGTCAGTGAAGGCATACATATCTGCACGGATTTGCAAGACTATAGACAAGTAGGTAAAAGTACAAACTCAATAACCAATCACTGAACAGGAAAGATATTCTAGACTATTCCCAAGTTTTCTCATACCGATGAAGGTCATGATTGTTAAATGTATACATAGAAGAATCATCCAATAGTCTAGACTAGAAGCAGGACAAACGAAGGACAGACTTATCGTTTGCCTGAGAGTATTGATGCCAATCAATCCTTAAAATGTATTCATAATGTGACAAATCGATTATTTATAATGACCATAACTATGAAACAAACACTAGAGATTACAAAATTAAGACCCACTATTGTCTATTTGTGAGAATGTGACGAGTCGTTAGGGCCATCCAATTTTTAATGAAAATAACTGTTATCACTTTAATGAAGGTTGACATGTTGGTAACGAAAAGAAGTGATATGAATTTAAGGAAAAATAGCTTTTGAGTCTTTGTACCCTTCTCAAAACGAGTTATTGGCACACTATATTTAATTTGACAATGCTTTCATATTATAGTCTGATACAAGTTGACTGATGTAAATCGTTATTTAAAATACCAAATTCTTCTTCCAACAGATCCTCCTGTTCAGTCGTGAATTTATTTTTTCATTTTTGTAAATTCGAAAATCTTTGTAAATTAGCTGGAAGATGCAGACTGATCCAACAAATTTATAGTAGAGTGGTTAATGAATTTCCTGAATTCCAGCATTGATTTCCAAGCCAGCTGTCCATAACGAAGAAGTCATGAGTGGTCTAGATAAAAAGCATTACCATTTGACTATCTGAGATTGCCGTGGTTTGGTCGACTACTATTTATACTGAGTGATTATTGAAGGTGAAATTAAAATTTAGACAGCGACCGGACCGCCAGTTGGGCAACACCCTTGGGGATTGAAGTCAAATAAAAATCTAGTTAGTATTTGGACCTCATGACTTAGTTCGTAGACCATTGGACTGGAAACCTGGTTGTAACTGATTCGAACCAGGCCCCGATCCAAGTTTTCATTTCACTTTCAATCATTACCCAGTATTAAAAAGGGTTACATTTTTCAATCCTAGAAAAAGCCACTCATCGGATGGTTCAAAGCAAATTGAAATTTTTCTACAACTCAGCTTTGAAAACTTTACCTGAAGCCCTACAGAACGCTGATAGACAATGCAAAATCAACTTTCTGCCATCTGAGTGATATTTTCATCTCTTTTAACTTTTAGCAGAGTTATTATTAATGAGATCGTCAACAACAGATGACTAGCATTGCTTCTAAATTTTGTTGTCTATAAAAGTAGAATTTGGACACTGTATTCTCTGGTCATCCCATCTTAGCTTTGTTGTCTGATGTTTCACATAGGGAAACAGCATTATTAACTGAATAAGCTTACTGACAACTTATGAGTAATAGTTATCAATTTAGACAAGAAATTATGTGACATAATAGCAAAAGCTCATTATTAATTTTACATTTTCTTAACGTAAACCTGCTAACTCGGGTTATAGTTTCACACTTATCTATGTGAGAGATTTTAATCCATGTTTTGTGATGGTTTGAAATGACTGACAAGAGAGATATTTGCATTCACTGCTTTAAAAATAAAAGAGAGAATCATTATGCTCAACAACTGGATGGTCTTTCAAGTTCAGAATTGTTAATTATTAACTGTCTAGTTCATTGAAAGAATGGACTCTATTCTCAATGCTTTGAAAACCAAGATTTTATCCACATCATTTGTTAACAGGTGAAATGTGTCAGATAATTTCAATAATTTATGGGGAAAATATGGTAACCAAAAGAGGTTTTCACGATTTACAAAAAATCAAATTTGCTTACAATAATGAAGGTTATTTTAAATATCGCAGAAATTAGATGAAAATGATCAGATTTGGCCGATGAATAAATAAACACAACATTGTGCTTTAAGAAAGTAATGTTATTGGAAAGAATGTAAACACAAACAAGGAAAAACACTATCTAGGAAGTAAGTCAATTAAACGAAGACGATAAAAGTCAGAATTCCTTGCATAGAACAAGAATAGTTCAACAAAGTCATTTCCATATGCAGTATTACCCAAGTTCCCAAGTGAATGAAATTTCACAGATATGATAACAGAGATTTGTACAGTTTGTAAGTTAGTTTCTCTTCATTTATGGCTCTCAAAAAAAGTGAATAATTGCCGACTCTAACTGATTATAAATAGATTATCTCAGCTCAGTTATTACAAAGTTTTAACCATCACATTATTATTGCCACTTCAGAAGAAACAGTTTTATGTATGCTGTAACTTTATAAATATGTAGCATAACTTATTCCAGAGCTTTAAATGGATCGGTTACAGACTTAGACGACAATAACCAATGGTTTGTCGAATAAACATAGCCTCTGATACCCAAACGCCAGAATTTTTTGTCAAACAACCTCTTTCACAATGATGAAAATATGCGCTTAAGAAGCTATTATCAAACTAAGCAGAAAGTTTTCTCATAGTTAAAACCTAAATTTTACATGCATGCAACGCCTTAATTTATTTAACACTGTGGTCTGCTCATCAACCTGAGTCTCACTACCCACTTGAATTTATAAACACACTCAAGTGTGTTTTTTTATCAATTTTCAGCTCATTATTGAAGATTGATTCTATCGTTTTTTGTAGTGAAATAGCTATTTCTACTAGCCCAATCATCTACATTACCCTTTCCACCACATGGGGGTCAAGAAGACTTTAGGTGTATTTCCTAGGCATTGTTTGGGAACGAAAATAACTCGATACCAAGCTAACATTTTTAAATTTCCCCCTCTTTCTATTGGTCAGAGCATGATAAATCTCTCTGCCCGGTTAACTAGATTTATCGTTAATAGCATTAGAATGTAAGAACATCATTTGGTCATTAATGCTGTTAACTGAGATCTTAATAACCACTTAAAATAGTAGTGACGAATAGTGTTTAACAGAGGAATCCACTACGAGCATCTCATATTAATACGACTAGTTAGCTGGATGTTTCTTTCACCCAGGAGTTAATATTGTCCCTCCTTAGGACCGCCGTTTGAAATGATTAATCCCGGTTTCCAGCCATAATGGGAAAAACATCCCTCACTAAGGTGCAGGCACTTGGGACTGACGAGTCCTAAATAGGACGAAACGAGTCACTGTCCATCCATCACACTTAAATTACACACATATTGAGCACAAATGCCAGGATAGTCCAGTCAACGACGGGAAATTACAAGAAATAACATAATCACCTAAAATGGTTTTTAAAAATATATCTTACTCGAATATTTCAATTTATATACTTTTTGAAAAAAACCTTCATCATGTTTTCATTTGAGTTCGTTCAGAATATTTTTTTTGCACTTTAAGCTAACCTGTCATAGCTATATAGGAAGAAGTGAATGCTTTGTAACTTCAAGTCTCATGAAAGCCAATGTTAGCAACGCAATCAATAGAGCTCGTGTTCTAAGTTTCTCCTACCAAACGTCTACATTTTCGATATTGAGAAATGGAAAATAACAGCAAAGTATACATACGTGTATGACAGACCAGAAGATGAATGTACTGTGGATAAGTAAATCCTCAAAATTCAGGAATTTGTTGTCTGACTCTGACACTTAAATTACACAGCTTAGATTGTAAGTTATATTCTTCTAACTTTTATTGTAAATAGGTAATTCAGTCTGTTGCGATATTTACTCATTTCAGGCTTGAAGGCAGTCAATATTTAAACGTAGAAAGTTAACAAATACGGAATTGTGAGCGACTTCCTTTGAATATACTAGTGTTGTGCTTACCCAGTTTTGTTTTGTCACCAGGAGGTTGTGTAACACAGAACTACTAATGTATCTGTCGCTATATAAGTTGCTGAATGTGATTGGCTAGAAAAAATTGTTCTGAACGTTGATGCAATCAATCTGCTCTAAATTATGAACATTCAAAATAATTATTTTTGAGGTCTAAGCACTTAGGTAAACTTGAGAACCTCGTTTTTCATAAAATAATTAGCCTAGTGCACTTCTGAAGTCAGCTTTCTTAAAACAAAGCTTTACATTTTTGCCAAAAAATAGTGACTTGTTTTAAGTAGATGCTGCGAAATGGAAATTGTTCTTACAAAATTTGGTGGTTTCTAAATTCAGGTATGAAATGTAAAATAAATAATCACATTCTTGACATAAACAAATCAGAAATTCATTTTCTAGAATTATCAAAAACACGATTTCAGTGAAATATAAACCGATTAAATTACAGTATATCGATTATAACATGTATTTGGATGTTTTTAGTCACCTGCACTTCACTCAGTAACCAACAATTATTTAAGTCCAATTGGTGAAGAAAATTTGATCAAACTTTCGCAAGATTTCATTTTCTACGCGTAACTTTCTACCAGGCTTTTATTCTTCATCATTATTATTTGTCTCGTGACTTACTAGTGGAACATAGACTTTCAGTAGCACGCCTCAAACGCACTCCATTCTCTGCTGTCTTTCCAACCTGGCTCCACGAGTACCCACAAGCTTTCATTTATTCCTCACACGGTCTCCTCCATGTCACACTCAGCTGGGAAGTCCAACTCATCGCTCCCCATTCAAATTCCACTCGACGGTCTGGGATGGTGCCTCATGTCCCCAAAACATCTTCTCAATGTAGGCCCAACCTAATCTATCTCCACTTTAATATAAGAATAAAACTTGGGCACTGTGGTCGATTGTAATCGTAAACAGACTGAAATGGAATTACCATCTCCACTTCATTCTTCTGAATATATGTTGGGCGATGGGTTCTTGGTTGGTTCGTTGCCAGACCAGACTCCGTTCCTTCTTGCTTATTCTTATTATTCTAGCCATCTGATCTTCACTGTCATTATCGAGTGAGCGTAGGAGGCAGCTGTTGACGGAGCATGTCTGTAGTTTGTTTGAAATGCTTTCCGTGATGCGCCCAGTCTCTAAACCATCACAGAGAAGCACTGACTTGACTGAATTAGTTAATTAA